TATGCACTATTACGACATGACACACACAATCCAAAACCGACTAATTTTCACTATTTGTTTTGCAAGAAACCCCTCTTGTCGCTGTTACTAGGGGTTGCTGTTGCCGATGATAGCTAAACAGGCGGACGACAGGTTGTTGCTGGGGTTATAATTGTGAATAACATAAGAAACCCTACCTGTTACAAAAGCAGAAAACTACTCCACAAAAACAACACATTGTCCATGTTGCTAGGAAGAGAAGGGTGCTCCGCTGAGAGCCTCGGTCGATCCAAAGATGGGTCAAAAAGGCTCTCAAGAGATTACAGAGCGGGATATTCGGTCTCCTTTTAGAGCCACACTGACTGACCGCTGAGGCTCACTACCTGTTAGGAAAAACACGCTGGAAAACACGGTAAACGCCCTTCAGTGTGCATGTCTTCGTCACTGGGACCCGATAAAAAATACACCTCTTGTGTTCATTATTTTCCCATCATTCCCAATCCTTACCACGAAGCTTAAATAGTCAAAATATAAACAAAAAGTAACATGTACTCCTACGTGGTCCCGGTTGGCGGCGCGACAATCTGTATATAGATTGACAAACCTCCCGACTCTGGTCAAGCACCGCCCCTCCACTTGCCCTCTCGAAAGGAGTCGTCAAATCAGATGAGCGGATTAAATTTGGAATTTTGAAGCGGGCCAATTGGAGGCGTTGTTACATAACAATTTCAATAAAGGGCTGGTCCATTCTAAGGATCCTTGGTCCATTCTTGTCAGTGGCTACAATTCACTTTGTAAGAACTTTGTCTTTTATGTTATTTTCAGTGTTGAAAGGTCGTCAGTTAAAATGGTTACATTTACTCTCAGAACCTTTTATTTATTTTTATAATAACATTTCATATGATAATATAATATTGTGTTTATTAATCAACATTGTTCTAGATGAAAATGCCTAAAACTATGCAAAATAGGGTGGTCAAATTTGAAATTGGAACGCTGCTTACATTATATTAATCCATTACTTTGACATGTATGACAATGTAATACACCTCTTAAATGGACTGCTCTGCATCATGAGCACTTTACCATTTTTAATATTTAATTTTGTCTGCTAATATGTGTGTACTTTTACTCTTTTTCAAAGTTTGGTACTTTATTTAAATACTTTATTTTGGGCTATATTTCTAGTCCACTTCCTTTTAAGGGAGAACTATTTAATTGTTGTAATCTCCTATAATAAATGAACACCCTATTATATACATTCAATAAATGAATAGTCTACTTTTACTTTTCATAACGTAACTATGGATTTTGAATGTAAGTGTAGAACTATAATATTCCTGAAAACTCATATTTTCTTCTACCACTGATGGAATAGGATCAAGCATCCTTAAAGACACACTTTTCCCTTAGAGAGTGCATTTCAATAATCAGCTATAGCCCTCAGCTGATACACTTTGTTCCATCATTAAGCCTGTTAGACCTTTAAAGTGAGCAAAGGAAATCACAGGGACGTCGTTGTGAGGGAAGAGGAAACGCCCCGAGGCATCACACATATGCTGAACTCTGCAATTTCCTATCATTCAACTGGTGAAACATGTTTGCCCATCCATTAACAACTGTAACAGCAGTGTCCTTAACTATATTATGGTGACATGTAGGGCATGGCAGCCACATGGGACTCCTCAGAGCATGACAAAAAAAAGTCCGCACAGCTGATCCTGAGAAGACAAAGGCTGACAGTGTTCTGTTTGCTGGCTACTCCAGCAGCACAATGGAAGATAGGACAATAGGACTCTTTTGACCCACACTGTGGCGAGGTTTCCCTGGTTTCAGAGAGAAGCTATTGTCTAAAGAGCTGGTGCACCCTCACCCAGACAAAGGAGAACTTAAACTGATGTAAGTGGGACTCTTCATTATGTGATGGCAAACATGGGTTTCATTTTCACTTAATACAATTTGTTTTATCAAACTCAAATGTTAAGCAAGATGTTATTGATCACATAAAGTGTGATTCCACCACAACAACATTATGGTTAGTTTAGTTTCCCAGCAATATAACATATGGATGGTGTCGTGTTGTCCTTAAAAAAAAACTCATAATCTGTACCTTTCTCGATAACATGTGTGTGTGAAAATTCACAAGCAAACTATACAAATGTTTTACGGGTTTACCATCTCAAGAGCCAGCAGTGATTGTGTTTGTGTTACTTTTCCAGAAAGGCAGTTGGCCCACTTACTACAATGCAAGTACAATCTCCTCTGTGCAGAGCTCGAGACAGCGTGCAGTGCTGTTTTTATGAATGGCAAAGTGAGGAGAGAGGATTTCAGATCAATGAGCGGTGAATATAACTCACTGATGTTCTGAATTCTGAATGACTATAGTTTAAGTTGCTGTTGTGTTACTTTATATACTGTATTTTCTATATGTTTTACTTTCTGAATCATGCTTGTATCTTTATTTCACTCTTTTCGATTCACATTTTTCTAATATTTGAAAAATTGTTGAAACAATTGTATGGCTATTCACAGATTAATTTTTGTAATACCGAATATATAGTTAAAAAGCCAGAAGTACTCAAACATTCTTGCAGAAGAAAGAATACGAGTTCTCACCGCAGCAAAATGTTTGGCTGGATTAAGGCATCACATGAAGCCTTTGAAGAGTTCAAAGCCCAGCACTGTTTGAATTAAGACAGGTGGAAACAACTGCAGCACATAATGCTTGTATGATCCAGATTTTCAACACTATTTCATGTAAAACACCCAAGACAGTATACAGTGTAGGATGTATAGAGGATGAGGACTACTCCACATGTTGTATAAGGGGATCTGGCACTGAGTTTGATGACTGGATGAAACCCAGCAGCAGTCAATCTATCAAGCCCTCTGGCCAGTCAGTCTCCAATTGGAACACAATGAACACTGGAGAGAATGTTCTTTCTATTTGTGTACCAAGATGTGTCAGTGAAGCAGTGTATATTATGTTCAAAACTTGGAATATCATCATTTAGCTATTGCTAGTTACATGATGATCAAATACATGTTCTAAATGAAGGCATGTTCATTCATATTACAAATTCATCCGAAGCACACAAAGAGTTCTATATAGCTTTGACACTGAAGAGATTACATCTCTCTGAAAGAAGTTATACAGTTTCTTATTTCCTTTTTAAGAAAATAGTTGGATGAGAAGAAGCATTGAGAGATCAAGCGTAGCCTAGCATAAATAACAGAAACAGGGGGAAACAGCCATATCGAGTCTGCCCATAGTAAAACCACACTGCCTCTTGTAGGCTGTTTAAAGTATGCATGGAAATATTTGCTAGATTTGGAAAAAAAGCGAGTTGGATTAAAATGGCTGACTACCTCCAATAAATACAACAATCAAAATGTACAGATCAGGAGGTTGTTGTGCCAGGCTAACTGATATCCTTGATCCTGTCTTTATGCTAAGCTAAGCTCACCCCCCCGGCTGTAGCCAATTTAGCATATTTCCTAAAATTGTCAAACTACTCTGTTTAGAGGCCGAACAATAAAGCAAAGTTTTGAAAGTAAACATGCTGTTGCGCTGGTGATGTGAAATAAAACCCCTCTGCTTTGTCTCTAACCACAGGCTTCATATGTCAAATGCATGAATGTGTGGCCATTGAAATGTACAATTCCCGTTTTGTTCCTTTTGTGCTGAGTGCAGTTTACCTGTAGCCTACTTTCTGCGGTCGGATCCATCCTCAGTTCCCCTGACAGAGCGCCACAATGCCGCAGCATGTGAAACCTGCTCTGCTTTTTGTCCCATCTCGCTTTCACCAAACCTTGCATCAAGGTGAAAGACAATGGCCTCTGGGTTCCCAGGGCAGTGTGGGGGGCATCAGTGCTGGGATAAGTTAACCACTACTGCCAAGTACTGATGCTTTATGATAAGGACACACAGCCGGAGGTACAATGGGGTTCTTTGTGGCTAAAGCTGCACAGATAACACCCAGACCAAAAGTAGTTTCTTTCCGCTTATCTCCCTCTTCTGCACCTTAGGGGTCAAAGACAAGTTATAAAACATGATTGAATTTAGGGATCCTCTAAGTGTAGGCTATTAGTGAAGGTGTTGTTTACTACTCCAGACCTCGAGCCTGAGAGTAGTTTGAAAGCACAACATGGAATCCGAGTGCTCTGAACTTCACAGAACTCTCTTTTGTTTGCAGACTCTCATATTATCCCCATAGCAACTCATTTATCAGGTCATTTAACCTAGAGAGGCCTTGTAGCTGGAGCTGGACCATTATATTTGGCTTAGAACAAGTTGACGAAAAGACTCGGTTTACGAGTATTTATAAAACATAAAAGTTAGGAAATAATGTGAAACATTGTTGTAACCTTAGCCATTAGTCATGTCAAACCTAGGTGGTCTGCACATGGAGCAGTGAGGAGTCTCAGGGTTAAGACAAACTTTGATTACGCACCATCTTTCATAATGAAAAGCCCACAAACATATTAGAACTATACTTGTGTGTGCATCAGTTCCTGACACATGATGTGACTGCTGTTTGTAGTTTCAGGTGATTAAGAATCAAGAGTGCGTAGCCACTTGATACAAATCCCAGAGTGCACGCTGTCTGATGTGAAGCATGTCCTGGTCGGTCTGTCGACATGCACAATTGACTCTTAGTCACACCGACGATGCTACAAAACACACAAAATACCTCTCTGTGTTTGTGTGTGTGTGTGTGTGTGTGTGTGTGTGTGTGTGTGTGTGTGTGTGTGTGTGTGTGTGTGTGTGTGTGTGTGTGGTTCACAGCACTGCAGGTTTTTAAAAAAACATTTAGACGATTTTCTTCTATTGAATTTGGACATCGTGAGAGCACAGATAACTGCTTCAGTTCGCCGTTGAAAACATAGATCTTATCATTTCACAGCAAGGTAAAGCAATGAAAGAAATACACGTTTTGCAGATGAACTTCGTTCCTGTTGTTTATTTCAAAATCTTAGTTTAAATGTTGAACATTTTCACCCTTTATATCAAGGGCTAAGAGTTCAATTGCAACAATACACTGTTTTCTTATTAAATAATGGAGGTTTGAATACATTTGAAAAAAGTTGTTTCTATTTGTCTTTTTCTCGCTGGAGCAGTTTGTATTTGTAATTTATAACATAACTCAACGTCTAGATGTCAATTTTAATGACTGACTACTTCTATGGTTATGAGATTGCTTTTCTTTTGATATACAGACTCCAGGTTTGATTTCAGGTGGCATTGTTTTGCCACTGAATTTGTTGAATTCACATGTATTTGGTTGGGATTCCCATTAAGGCCTGATTTAAGTTGGGGACAAATAGACACAGCGTGGTGAGGAGACACTGTTCTTCCTGCCTGCTGCACCCACTGTATGTTTCCATGAGTCAGAGTGGGCGTCATCTGGGCATGGGGATGCCAGCGTCCATAAGCTCTGTCCATCTGTCACCAACAGTCCTCTCCCGGTTGCCAGGATTTCTTTCTTTCATTCATCCATGTATCCTTTTCTTTGTTCCCGAGTGCATCACAGCAAAATACAAGAAAGGAAGAGGATAAGTTTAAATCACATTTAGAGAAATTATTTCAACATTAATAGAAATACTTTTCTTCAACAAATTGCAAATGTAAACAAAACAGTGCAAATCATTTAGAGAGGGTAATAAAAATGAATCTTTACTCATTGCTGAAGAAGGGAGTCAAACCGTTAGTTGCTGCTGATATAAAAATAAATTACTTTTTAAACCTTGAACTTCATCTTTCCAGTCTTGCTGATGACACAGAGATGCTGAAAGGGAAATATGTGGGAGAGAGAAAAACGAGCATGTGGAGATTTTAAGTTTCAATCTTGCCCAAAACATTGCATGTGATGATGGCAAGATATTTGTTTAAGATCACCCTGACCTATATGAAATTCTAGTATGTCCTAAGAGTCTCAAAATGCCATTTACTCAACGCAATAATTTGAAAGTAAGGTAGGTAATCTACAAAGATAGGACACATTCATTAATCTAACTTAGGGCGTCCCAGGGGTTCAACTCATATTTCTGTGTAGGATGAGGACAGATAAGAGGGGAAGCTTTAACTCTACCTGATAATGAGATCCTAACCTCTGCATTCCACAGGTCACCCCCTTTCAAACTCTTAGAATGAATACCAACCCCCTCAAACACACAACCGTACACTAGTACATACAGTACTTGTAGGACACACACCCATGTGAATACACACTCACACACAAAGCTATGGGAGTCAGTGTCGGCTTAGTGTTTTACTTGAGTCAGAGGTAAAGTTGAGGCCACGTCTTTACAAATATAAAAATGACAAAGTTCACATAAGTTTGCACTTACTAATTTCTGACTGAGAAATCTGGCTTGAAATGAGCTGTCAGGAGTGCAATAAAGAAAACAGTATAGTAGAGCTGAGTTGCACTTAAAGCCTGTAGATGAGTAAGCTTTCGTTAAAGCAACAGTGAGGTATTCAGAAAAGAAAATAGAAAAACTGCCAACAATTCTATATATGCTTTTAGATGCAGAATGAGTATGATTTCTTTGAAGGGTGAATACATGTTAAAATAAGATAGGAAAAAGGGGGAGTTTGTCTATAGTATACTGCCAGTCGTTGAACTTATTATCAAGTTATCATAATGCCTATAAATGATCTGTATCATAACATAGGTATGGCAAAATACTTTCAATACATATTTTAAAATGCTAATGTTCAAAACATAAAGTTCAGCATTTATTTTAGTGTGTACGAAGGCTTATTTGGTCATTATTATTACTTTTATTTATTTTTCTAGGCTGTGATCTGTCTTTATAATAGTTGACTTATAGACAACATAATGTTGCAGATGGAAATGAGCTAATAGCTAAATCTGCGATATCTCACCCCGCCCCCATAAACATTTTACTGCATAATGCTTGTTTAAAAAATACTTATTTTGACCTGATGACCTCCCTACTTTAACTGACTTGAGCTTCTTTGCCTTAATGTAGTCACCTCCGGCAGAGAGGATATCTGTTTGGTTGAGTTTAGGTTCCAGGAAGAGGAGTGCATCTCTTTGAGTTGCTATGTTTACCCCCCCCACCCTCCTGTCTCTTTCATCTCTTTCTCTTAGCTCTTCAAAAGGTCATGTACTGTGTGCTGCAGTGGACTTACATTCAGGTCACGGAAGTATTCATTGTAGTCCAGAGCATAGCCCACAACAAAGTGGTTCGGGATCTCAAATCCAACATCTGTAAAGGCAAACACAGACATGTGTTTGTGTCTGAAATGGTCTTTTTTAACACCATAATTTCACAAGATTTTAATCAAATGACCCCAGCTGAAATCCAATCAGGGACATCGCCGTTATATTCTACTGGAATTAGGGAGCATTTGGATATTTTGAAGTGGCAGCAGCAAAAAACATGTAACACCTAAAAAAAGGCACAACAAAAATCAATATCAGTTTAGGTGGGCACAATATTTAGAATATTATGACCACTTTCCCAATTTGCAAAAAATAAAGTACATTTGATCTTATCTGCCATTTAAATTGACTTTTTTGCTTCAGTGATGTATATCAGAATTGACTGGAGCGGGCTTATCAGGTCACAACAGATTTTTGATAATATACACAGTAGCCTACTACTTCTCTCTTTACCAAGTAACAACATTTGCATAGCAACAACTTATATAAAAAGTGGGAAAAACATGCAACAGATTCTCTGTAACTGAGTGGCGTACATATCAGACACAGTAAACTGAGCAGAGGTACTCACAGTCTGTCAGACTTTCAGCCATGTTAGGAACCCTCTTCACCAACAGACTGAAACACATGAAATATAAACTTCATTTCCAAACTCTACAACTCACGTTTACTGTAACTAATCAGGACCCAAGACATTGTACACAAGTAATAACAACTTTCAGGTTCTTCAATTGCTACTTTATATTTCTAATGTATTACATTTTGCATGCAAATCATGTGCCACTATATTTATTTGCTAGCTTTAGTGGCTACATCTTTTTTGATTTAATAAAAGATACAAAGTATATATGAACAAATGAATCATGACTTATTTTGTATAGGATAAGCTACCCAGCAGTAATACAACAATTCAAATAAACCTAATTGTTACCAAGTTAGCACTGAAGGCATATTCATTCAATAATAATTATAATGTAATAAGTCATTGGCCATTCTGCATAATGAATACTTTCTACTTTTGGTATGTTTTGAGGCAAAATTATATATATATATATATATATATATATATATATATATATATATATATATATTAGTGCTGTCAAAATTATCGCGTTAACGGCGGTAATTAATTTTTTGAATTAATTGCGTTAAAATATTTAACGCATTTAACGCATGTGCAGAATGGCCCGCCCCATACGTGCCACCAGTGGCAGCGCCAGGGTATGGCTGGGGTAGGCTACACCAGAAATGGCTTAGCCCCACCATGAAAAATGATGTTAAAGTAAGCAAAATAAAGTCTGCCAACTCGCGCGTAGTAAATTGCACAGACAGCAGTTAGTAAGATTGATTTCAGTAGCCACGGTTTTGAAAACTTTTGTCACGTAGTGATCGTCTTCTCAATAGAACATCTTTGATAACGGCGTGGTGTTGTTGCAGGAAGTCCCGACGGAGAATACTTTTGCTGTAGTACAGGGGTGCACATAACTGGTACGCAGGTTATGTGCGTAATCTCTCTGAAATGCGTACCATCACTTGTGTCACAAAGCGCATTTGCGTACCGACGTACTTGTGAAGCTTTTCCAGAAGGCGGTTAGATCACCGGACGACAGAGTCGGTCTCCGTGTGCACAGACAGGGCTGCTGTTAACGTCCCCCCCCCCCCCCCCCCCCTTCACTGGAGAACTGCGCTAAAACAGCTGGTCACAACGTTCACACTCTGTGGTCACGAAGTACTCCACTAGCCGCCGCCGCCCCCCCTCTGTCGACTTTCCTGAAGTACTCCCCCGTTGATAGAAATCAACACGTAATGAATTAAGACCCCACGGTTTGATGATTGATAGGTGTGTGGGCAGTGCTTGAATTGGAATGAAAAAGGTGCCAGTACTCTAAAATCAGCAACTTTTTCAAGTCAATTTTATATATATAGCCCACAAACAAGAATTTGGCTACTATAATGCTGGTGGGTTTGTCTCTTTACTACTGTATATTTTAGAAAGGTTCACTGTACTTAAAAATGTTTATGATAGGCAGCGGATATGGCTAAAGCTCAGTAAGGTCAATATTAACTGAAAATATAGCAATCAAAGTCTAGATCTTCTGCTGAAGACACATGAAGCAGAGACCTTTCAGGTGAGAGCCCCTCTGGTGGTGTTCAACATTAATGACAAGGAAACAAAGCTCTGGTCAGAAGCATTTTTATAAAAAGCTTTAACAAAATTAAGTATTTCTGTACATTTTGAATGCAATCTAACTTTCCAACTCAGAAAACGAAAAACGAAAAAGTGCCAAAAGTCTTCTCACATGGCTGAGCTGCTTTGCAATATACTTCACCACTGAAGAATACAAATATGTATAAAGTAAACTATGATGCAATCTAACTTTCCAACTCAGAAAAATGATAAAGAGCATGAACAAAGAACATGTAAAAACAAATGCAAAATTTGCACAATCTAAAATGAGAAACTGTAACTGCAAGTAACAAAGTCTGAGCCATGGTAAAGAGTTACATTGAACACCAAGCTGATCAGATAACTCCCTGGTTGGTCTGAAGTCCTTCTATCTCCAGGATCTGTACAAATCGGCACATTATGCCAAAAGTCTTCTCACTGGGTGAGCTGCTTTGCAATATACTTCACATTGTTAGAAAAGGCTCCAGAAGGCCTTGGGGACATCAGTATCAGGGGCTGGAGCTGGACAGGCTCTTTCATCAGCACTTCTCCTTCCCTTTGCCAGCCAGGACCTCACATACTGTTCCGGATTGAACTGTCCTAGTGATGGTCCATTACATTTAATGAAAACCAGGCTGGACAGTCGGCTGACAGAGAGAGCATTCCTTTTTGCAGTAAGGATATCGTTCATGCAGCTGAATGCCCGCTCACACTCACTAGTGGAGACAGCGATGGTTCGGACTGCTTTCAGTAGAGGCTCCATGGCAGCAGGTGTACGGGATGCCCTGGTTTCCTTGTATTCGCGAAAGCCCTGAACAGTCTCTCTTCTGTCCACTTTCAGCACTTCGCACACACGTAGCACCTCTACGTCCCCATACTGTACGTCTAACTCCTCTTCAGGCCAACTTCCAGGATGGATAACTTTCATGTCCTGGATTAGCTGATTGTCCCGGGCCTCCCGGCCATGTAATGGGATTTCTCTTATGCTGACATGAGAGGAGGTTGTGGAAGTCATTCTGTGTCTCAGATTCTCTACCATACTGCGGAAAAACTGACCTGCATGAATCTGTACAAGCCTGCCATTCTCACGCAGGGCAATACCCTTGAAGGACTTCTCAGCTAGAGCTGTATGAACTGTAGTCATGTGTGGGCCAGGCATGGTGACCATGGATTCAAAAACTCGTATTTCTCGAGTTAAGAGCCTATCTGCTGTAGGCAGTGTCATCTCTCTTTTTTGGAGTTGCCGAGAGAGGTCGCTGAGCTCTGTGAGCGCATCGTACATCAGTCCCAGATTGCTGACAAACGTTGCAGATGTGAGCACATCATCCAGGCCCTTGTACTTTGCTCTGTCTCTGGAATCCCTGCTCGTGTCGTTTGCAGCATTTGTGAAGTGATCATGAAGCACTCGGTAGTTTTCCCAGACTGCTCTGACGCTCCTTTCACTTGAAGCCACCCAGCGGATGGACAAAACACGCCCTATCACCAGGAGACGCTGTCCGACTGCTTGCGCACACTGCGCTAACTGCCTCTGATTTTTGGGGGAGGCATGGAACAAGGAATAGAGTTTGTCAAAAAAGATCTGGAAATGATTGAGCCCTGAGACCTCCTTGACCACATCCCCAACTGCCAGCTCTAGACGATGATTGGAGCAGTGCCACACAAACAGGCTTGGGAATTTACTACACAACTGGGTAGCAACGCCTGTTCTCTTCCCTAGCATGACTGAAGCCCCATCACATGCAAAAGAAACGAAACACTGACCTAAAAAGTCCTCGTTAAAATCTCTTCCAAGACACTCCATTAACGCCTTTGTGATGTCATCAGCCGTTGTTCCATCCAACTCGATCAGCTCCCAAAAAAACGTTTCGGGCTCAGCATCAGCTAATGCTGAGCGTAGACACACAACAAGCACCGTTTTACCACTAATAGTGGTAGATTCATCGACCAAAACACAGAGTTTTCTTTGGTTTTCTGTAATGTCTTTTGCCATTTTTTTCTTCAGCTCATGAGCTATGTGATCGATGATTTCGCCACAGGTTTTATTGGAGTGCAAAACCCTGCCCACGTTCAGCCCATTCAGTTTCTGTACATTCAAATCAATTGGCATGTCTGTGAATGGCCGGCAATGTTTGCCAATTTTATATGCCGTTCGAAAAACTCTGATAGTGGTGTCTAATTCAGATTTATGCATAGACTGCACTTGATGTTGAATAGTTTCACGTGAAGCAGATGTAAGGATGTCAGCAGCTTTTACATGGGCTTGTGATTCTTTATGTTCTTTGATTTTTTTTTCTCAGGCTAGCTTGTTGTTTGCCCTTGTCAACACCGAAATGAGACACTGCACACTCACCCCATTCAGTTGACAGTTTCAGTCCTTGTCCAGTGTGTATTCCCAAAGATTTGACATCTCTGCATATCCGACATCCTAGCTTCTTATCTTTAAGAAGGAGCCATGCATTGGTCTTGCAAAAATATTGCACCTGGTCCGTTGTCCAGCAGTCAGGTGCATCGCTTTGCCCGGTGTTGGTGGTGGCAGTTGCGCCAGCAGCAGCTAACGTTAGAGGCTCTGGAGGAGGCGGCGGAGCTAGTGCTAATGCTAATGCACTAGAATTTGGAGCAGGAGGATCAACCAAAGAAAGCTCCCCATCAGACACAATTTCCAACACAGGCACAGCATTCTCTGTATTTGAAGTTTCTTCCGGCGACAACCGCTGTCTTTTTGCACTTTTATTAATCCACGCTAACATTTAAAAAATGCTAATTTGTGACGTGACTTGCTTTCCTTCTCTCGGGGGCGTGCCTGCTCTGTTCTATCACTCTACATAGCCACCCACTGGGTGGGAGTTGCACTGCATAAACACAACACACGTGCATCTAGGTATGTAAATTGTAAAGCATTAAAACATGGTTTTACTAACAGTTTTCAGTATGTTGTTACTTCGGCATTATTATTATTATTATTTTGAAACGTGTATTACTATTAAATCACGGTCAAATAGGTTAATTTTGACATAGTCGTTTCCACCACAGTATTTACATGGAGAAGATAAGCCCCGCCCCCTCTCCAGCACGTTCTGTTTGAATGACAGGAGTAAACAGCTGACAGCCGCTGTGAAACTCCAGCGGTTAGAGAGATGAGAATGTCCGTTCGGCACCTCATGACGCATCTACTGAGTACCGGGCGGCTGTATATATATATATGGATGTATAATAAGAACGGCGGGAGAGTGTTGAGTACTGGCACGGTGCATGAGTACCGGAGTACCGCCAGCATGCCGGTACTGAGCAAGAAGTGCCGGTACTCCATGGGTCAGAACCAGAAGTGCCGGTACTGCGTACCGGTGAGTACCGGCCCAATTCCAGCACGCATTTTTCTGCGTGTCAAAATGAAAGACAACCCACACAGTGTGGGTTGTCTTTCATTTTGACACGCAGAAAAATGTTATAATAAACATAGATACTGTATGTTAAATGGATATATCCGCCTTCTTTCATTTATCTTTCCATTCCCACAACAATATACATAAATAAATGGCATATTTTGGACATAGTTCGAATGGTGATTAATCATGATTAATTAATTTTTAAGCTATGATTAATCTGATTACAATTTGTAATCGTTTGACAGCCCTAATATATATATATATATATATTATATTCAGAAATGAGTGCAGGACAGAGTATTTTTTTACTGCATTATGAATAATTTAAATCAAGTAAAGTATTTATTTCATCACTGCCCAGGACTTACCTAGTATTTAAAAAGTATTATAAATTGTCTTGCTGTTCATTTAATTTCAAAGATTGAACTGTAACAAATACCAAATCTACGTATATGTACCCAACATGCTTACACTTAAAAAGTGTTAAACAAACAGTTGAGGAGATAAACTCTCAACATGACCCAGGACAGATGTTCATCTTGTTTCTGTGCATCGGAACAGACACAGGACAGGAGATAGGGACAAAGTGATATCTTCTTCTTGTGTTGTCACACACTCGGTATTTCCCTCGGTAGGGAAAACACAGATGACTGAAAAACTGGCTCACCCTGCGACCTTGACCATCTTTGGTTCAAAGGTCTCCACATGCTTCAGAAGGGCCTTCATGGTCTTTCCTGTGTCAACTATGGCCTGAGGGGAGGGAAGAGATAAAGGAAGAGGGGAGAGATGAAGAGGAGGGAGGTGGGGCTTTTGAGTGGAGAATGCTTTGAAAGGGGAGAAAACTGACAACCAAATATGTAGATTGTAGGATGAAAAACCTTTTCCAACTTTACGTTTTTACGAGATTGATTACCATACTAAAAGAAGTACATGGAGTGCATTACATTACATTACATTGCATTTAGCTGACACTTTTATCCAAAGCGACTTACAGTAAGTACATTCGACCAGGAAGATACAACGAGTGCATGTTTTACATATTATCACTTTTCCATAAGCAGAGGAACTGTAAAAGATTTCAATTACATTATTTTAAGATGCCTCCCAACTGTTTCATTGGAGTTAACAACCATTGTGATATGTGTTTTTGCTCTGAGTTCGGAACCCTTTTCAAATGAAACATGATCTCAAAGAGAGAATACTTCTTTAGTCTTTTTGTCCTTTTGTACACCAAAAACAAAAGAGGCTCTTAGAAGCACAATGGCCTCTCGATCAACACGACACCCAGAAGAAGTGCAAACAAAACATTAGCAAGGTGCACATTTGAAGGACATGCTTGATAGAATTAATTTAGTTGAAATAAAGAAACTGCTTTGCAAGTCAGAGCAGATGGAACACTCACCTCGACAATGAGCACACTCTTGGTACATGTAAAGAAAAAGAAAAAAACCATTAGTAACCTTTGGATTTTAACAGAGTTCGAGCTAAGTGAGAATAAAGGCTAGCGTGTTTGTGTGAAATGTACATTTCTTACAGATGGTGTCTAGAGCAACAATGTTGCCAGCATCTGAACAAAAACACAGCTTATTCTCTCCTCCCCAGTAATGAACATCTGTGTCTACAGTGAGCAAAAGTCACTTCTAAGTGTCCGGGTGTTGCTCACTTTCCCTGCTGCAGGGTTTCAAATGACTCCTTGTTCCCTTGGCCGGTGTATGGGGCTCTTTGTGAGACCAGTGGAGAGTATCTATGGTTTGGGGAGAGTGATCGGAGAGAATGCAGGCGCCTGGCCAATGTTCTCTCCTTCTACACCTGAACCCTGTTACACAACACTCAGGGAAAGTGGATAAGGGGACGTGTAAAAAAAACAAAAAACTCAAACATGACCGCTGCATGCTGGAGAATATAAACATACTATACGGTCAGTTGGACAACAATCGTGCATTGGCAGTCATTTTGCAGCATATACTGTAGAACCATTTAGAATCATTTATAGTTCTCTTAGGATCCATATATCATGAGTGTGGGATTGGTGTAGTTTAATCAATTAATCCTGACTATAGAAAAAGCTTTGGTATTATCCAATCATTGCTAGTGTATGAAGGCAGTAACCAAAATGCAGGCAGTAACCAAAATACAGGCAGTAACCAAAATGCCAAGTACATTAAGCTGCAGGAGGCCAATACAAAAATTGGTGATAGTGTTGTTTTTGTATTTACTTTCACATGTTCAAAATGACATAACTAACATCATGATGTTTATCAGATAGGCATATAATGACAGATTGTGACCTGATGATGGCGCTGGACGAAAGGCATAGAATCATGAAAGTTCCAACAATTCATCCAAAGTGGAAGAATGTGTGACCCATCATGACAATCTATGGTTGTTGTGACATTTCACTACATATCACCAATGTTAATCTTACGATGGTCTAAATGAAGAGTAAGGGGATAACAAAGGTACTTAGTATTCATCCTCTGGGGACCATAAAATAAATGAACGTCAGTCGATCTAATAGTTATAGCGTTATTTCATTCTGGAACAAAGTTTAGGACAACACAGACAGTCTCACATTGCCCTGTCCTAAGCTCCAATTCTAGCCTGGCTTAAAAACTGATCATAACAAAATATATTTTCATTACTTTGTGAAAATAAAGGGATGCTATTAGTGTATCCACTGTCAAGCATGAAGATGTCAATATCACCTCCCTCATACCTGAAGCTGTGACTCAACAACATTTCTGAATATGACTGATGACACATGTTTCGTTTTTTGATTTGAGACTTTGTGGGAGGTTTGCTGTGATATTTTCATTCTTGTGAAGGATTGTAAGTGAGTGATTCATGTGTTCTGTGCAAGGTGGTTGTCAGCCTTTTTGTTTTTACTCCCATTGACCTTTTAAACCGCGGCTAGAATGCATCTCAGTTAAAGGAATTCAACATCAGTCTTTTTTAAGCAAACACGTGTGGGCATATTTACGCGAGCTGAGTTAGTGATCTCATGTCAGAGAAGAAGGCAGTGAGGAGGAGGGATCATTCCTACAGACTCCTCTGTCATCCATGCCAGAGCTCAAAAGGGATGAACAGTCAGTAAATCTGGCTTTTGGGAACATTCATTTCCCTAAAATTCCTAATTCATAGTTAGGCTGGTCAGGGGGTTTTAACAAAGTGACCCACATGTAGTGGGATCAAAGAGGAGAGAAAGCTTCAAAAGTGGAAGTATAGGGGAGTGATCCTGTCCAAGGGGCAATACAAACATATTTGAAACAAAACATGTTATTCTTCTGTTGATGTTATCTAAAATGTTTATTCTCAAAGGGGAACTAATGAGTCATTTCTCTTTTGTTGACCTGTAAAGGTGATTACTTTCTGAAAGTTTAACTGACAGCCCCCTCTTGAGGCTAAAGTTTCATTTAAAAGGTATCTCAAAAACAAAAAAAACACACATTTTTTTATGCACAATTCTTTATGCACACCTTTCCACGTAGGAACGACAGATCTCCACTTCCTATGATTTGCAGCTGCTCTGTTGATTGGTCATTCTGGGCAGGAAAAGATGAAAAGAGAAAGATGATGGTATTGTTACAAAGTATTTTTTTCAATATTATGCAATCATTATAAGTAATGTATATAATTGTTGTCAGTTTATTTGATTTTAGCAACACAGATTCCTTGCGCTATTGCTTGTTCCTCAAGGGGAAATTGAAGATGTATTCATTTTTTAGCCACCAGAAATTACAATGAAAATCCGGATTGAGAAATAGCATGCTTTCTCAAAGACATGTTACTCTAGTCTAGTGTTTCTCTAGAAAGAGCTGTTTGCAGCGAGAACAATGCACACAGGGAGATTAATAATACGAGACTATGAGTATACAATATTATTCTTTGCATAAACAAAGCCAGGCTCTCTGTTTCCACCGAAAGCTTTAAAGGATGACAGCTTTGAAGTTAGATTTGTGGGCCACAGATGCATCACTCAGATAAGAGGAGCAGTGACATGGACAAAATCCCAACCCTGGGGGCAGGTCACATGACTCCATCATGACCAGAGATGTTGAGATGGACTCACAGCGTCATTACTCAGACCCTTCCTCTAATAACAAAAGCTGCTTACTGCCCTGTTGTATGTTGATACCAAAAATAATGTTGCGTTTTTTTTTGTTTTTTTTCTGTTTTCTGATGTATTCATTTATTTATTAATGTAATTATGACCTAATTTACATATACGCTTCAAGCTTATTTCGAAATATGTTGTGATTTTTTATTTTATTATCTTTTTTCTATATATTGTCCTTTTATATGTTATTGTTTTTTTCAATTGTTTGTGTTTTTATCTGTTAATCTTGGTACATCATATTGTCCTAATTGTCCTTGTTGCATTGCTACTTGAATAATTGTCATGATATATCATATATTAAATGAAAATGTGTTGTGACTATGAGCAAACATCGGACATTATCGTTTGACCTCATGGTTTACCTGACCCAGCAAGTGAAAATCACTATCTATAATTCAGATAAGAATGCATTAAATCCCTTTAAGCCAATTCTGGATACATAAATAATAAAGCCTCCCCTGCGCTGAAAAAGGAGAGGAGGAATGTGACCACATGCAGAGACATGTAAATCACATCATTTTAGGTGCTCTCTGCCAAAATACACTCAAGAAAATAAGTAACTGTGGTGACAAGTGCGTAGTGAAATCATTGTAAACATCACTGTGTCATTCCCAGAGTTATTTCCTCAGTTACATTCCAGGTGTTAGACAGTGCCATAAGCTGCTTCTCTTGGCAGAAAAACAGCACCAATTAGGGTGGTGTTTTCCTGACCAGAGCTCTGCAGTGGCTCCATAATCAATCGTCCTTGAGGTGTCCTGAATGTAATCTTTCCTCACTAAATATGAACAACAGTGACACCTGGTGGCTGAGCGAGAAGTCACACAGTTACACATAAGTTGTTAAAAAGTGTCTTTAGTGCATGATGAATGTAGGGGCTTTAATTATAAGGATCATTTTGAGTATTGATTAACTTTTTATATTTATATAAACGTGTCATTCATTGTGTCGATAACATGTAAAAAAATAATGAAAAGAATAATTATTATAAATTCCCAAAGGCAATTTTGATGCCCTCAAATGCTTGTTTTGGTCACTTTTCACCCAACAAATAAATAAAAATGTTGTTTTTCTCAATTAATAATCTCTGAATTTAATAAAAAATAATTGCTAAACACACTACATTTTTGCAGCGGAGAAAAAAAAACTTTCAAATCCTTTTTTTTAAAAGCATTTTTGTTTTTTGTTACCGGTAGAGGATGTATTGGACTTGAGTAAGGGTCCAATACATCTGGGGACACAAAATAAAATGCAAAGCCTGCTGTGTAGTGTTCATATCTCAAATGTGTGTATGTGTTAATGTGTGTACCATTTATGTGTACATTATGCCATACACCTACTAGGTAGCTCTTGAGACGGATGAACTCCACCCGTGTCTCCAGGTACTTGTTGGAGTTGCGGCCGAGCACCTTGATGAACTCCACCAGGTCTGCACAGAACTTGTAGCCTCCCTTCAGGACGCACAGCACCATGATGTTGTTGTTGTCAGCAAAGTCATCCATGATGTAGTGGGCCAGACGCTCCACCCTGCAGGAGAAATGCATTCAAAAAAAATACAAATGAAGGCAAAAAACGTTTTTACAAATTACTTTGCATGGGTTTTTTTTTGTTTGGTGTATTTTTTACCTGTTCGTGATTATCCCATGTGGAATGTAAACACTCTCTATGTCTTCATGGTAGTGTTCAGGGTAAGTGAACAGGTCCAGACTATATCCTGGCCAGTCATCTTTCAGCTGGGACAGAAGAAGCACTGTTAGGCATGGAAGTAAATAACTGTAGACGTTTAAGAAACAGGAAAAAAGGGTTCAAGCAGTTGGATTTCCACTGTCTAAAGAAGTCTAGTTTTGATGGCTATTTCAATTTAGGCATTTCTGTATACATTTTGCTGTAGGATGTCATAAAGGGGAAGCTGTGAAGGTTATTCAAAAGCTTCTTATTGTTAAATGAATCCAAAAATGACTTGGGGAATTCAATTAGAGAAAAGTGAACATTGTATCTCCTAACAGCAGCTCTAAAAGCTGAGTGAATAATTACATACAATGACTCATTATCTGTTGAGATTAAAACTTGTGAATTGAAACTTTTGAATTCATGATATTAGCGTTAAACATACCACAATTCCTTTTTTCATCCCTGCGTTGTCCATTTGTAGTCGATGAAAATGTAGGATACAGGCAGCAGTGACCTTCAGGGGACATACACAGAAAGTTTACTTTCTTACACCGGACCAAATAATTAAATACTTTCCTTACTTTGAAATGTTATGGTACATGAAAGTATCTCCTGTAACTCAGAGTCACAAGTGTTTCAATTTGACCTGAAGTTACTTTCTGTCTGTGAATGTGAGCTACATTTAACTGCTAAGCCACAATAACAATCTGTTATTTCCAAAGACTTACTTACAGTTTTGTTGCCTTCCTTTCCTTCCAGCGACAATTCACAAAAACAAAGAAAGTCAAAAATAATCCGGAGACCTTCTGGCCAGTCACATGGACTGTGGGATCACGCTCGAGTCATTTGCGTAAAAGGACAGCGTTGTTGCAGTCGTGGAGAATTACAGGGATAATCAGCTGCATGTGACCGTATAACGGGCCACTGCAGGACAATGAAAACACTCGGCAAAATATACTTGGTTCAGCTTTTCATGAAGCACATTTTATTTGGGCAGATATATTTTAGTGTTTTTACAAATGACACCTTTTTCCCTAGATTTACAGAGTATTTTAGAAAGATCATTACTTCCCCTACATTGAAAAAACTGAAACTTTAATCAGATGCATTATGTCAACAGATTTCACATAACTGTACGTGGTTAGTTGAAAGCAACAAATATTAGGCAACATTAGGTTCAACTTAATAGTATTGCTTTCAACTAACCTCATACTGTTATGTGAAATCTTTTGACATAATACATTTGGTTAAAGTCAACGTTTCAGTTGTTTCAGTGTAGATGGACCTTAAAATGGCAATAGTCCAGTGAAATATCTCAATGACTGAGAAGACTGCTATTCAATGTTTTAATAATAAGTAACATATTCCCCAGAAGGTTTTTCTGAATGACAATAATTTGGGGATAGAAATTTATACATTTCATTGATTAAATGAGATATCACAAAAATATGCAAGCACAGAACTGTATTTTACTAAAGCCCATGTCATATTTGAAGGGGGGAGTATGAAAACAAACAGTGCAGCACATCTGATTTAATGAAGATTTGTATGTCCTATTAGTAACTGGGTATGTAGATGGTCTTGAACCTCTCAATGAGTTTGATGTCATTCTCTAGCTGCTTCATCGCCGTCCCTAGACTGTCCCTGCGGGCCTTCTTGGACAGGTTGTCTGTGACCAGTGACAGGCCCTGGTAGTCATGGTGCAGCTCATCCCAATTCTTCTTCAGGCCCTTCATGGTGAACACACAAAGGGAAACACATCACTGTCACAATACATTCATGTTAGTAATGCAACTGTCATGGATTAACAGCTTTTATATAGCCATCAAATCAGAAGTAATGTCTGTGTTACAGGAACAACTACAGGGGTTATTGTCAAGGATTGTGGTTAATATTGTTGTAATATTAGTATTCATTTTGCCGTGCGTGGCTAAAAAACTACATAACGAACATGCATAAGCCATTTTATCCTGACTAGTTATAGGGCTACGTAAAATAGTTTTCCTGACACGTTAAGGACATTAAATCATCAGATCAAATTCCAATACACCTCCAGTGTGAAACTGCTGATTCAGGAATGTGCAGCGATGTGTTTGTGTACCTCCAGGACGATGTGTCTCTCCTCATCCGACAGATGTTTCATGGCTCCCTGCTTCCTCTGTTCTTCCACAAACATGTCGTACTCCTCCTGAGCTCTCTGCTCTTCTTCATTGCGCTGCTGCAGATACTCAGGAACCTCTCCATAATGCTGCAAAAAGGAAACCGGGCGATAAATTAATCTAATTAAATCAGCACTCAAGGATGGATTTCATCAATAAAAGGTTTAATATACTATTTTTTTTGTATTGACTTTTTCGGTTGTTGGCTATTTTTTTATGCGATATGAATGAAAAAATACCTTTTTCTTAATGTATTTGGGGACAAGTCCTGAATTCTCAAGGAGCTGCTTGTGTCCCTTACTGGTGTCCACAGATGTAGGCTTGGGCTTCATTGGCACCGCTGTAGCTGTCTTTATAAAGTCTCTCTGGGTTTGAAAGCCCATTGGTGGGTTGTCTGTCCTTGCAGGAACAGCTGATTTCCTCATAGTGTAGCTGTTAATAACCACTTTCTGCGCCTCTGAATAAACAAATAAATATGAAGTTAAAGTATAGAATCCCTGCTTCAAGACGCACATGCACATTCTTCAAATAGTCTGTAGGAGAACTCACGTTCAGGTAATTTGAGCTCTTTTGAATGCTTCTTGAGGTATTTCTCAGGGGTTGGTACCTCTACTTTTGCTGGTCCCATCGTCCTCATTGCATCCTTGGTGGACTTTTTCTCAAGAACAACTGTCGGCCTAAATTTCGACATATACCTACAGATCCAGCAAAATAGAGAAAATTATCATTAATTGTTTGATGTCATTTAACATGAATGACATCAAACAGATTAAAGTGAGAAGTACTTTTTTGGTTAAGATATAATTGCTTTTGTTATTCATGTACTCATAAATAAAAAGTAAAATATCTATAGACTACAGTTTTATATGAAGCTTTAGACAGACAACCACATTCAAATACTTATTTTGCCTTAGTAATTTCTGTACATTCCCGAAAAAATGACCTAATGTTAGTCTATGAGCCAGATAACATGTGCTTGCCTCATTTAATCGTTTAATCGTTTGTGGCGAAATATCTAAGCTAAATACAACAAGAAGTCATTCATTGCTCTGTATGTCTACAATATTAAACACAACCTTGTTCTCTAGTTACCTTAATACAACTAGATTAATTTGAACTAGCACATTTAGGTTTATATTTTGCTCTTAAAGTAGGCTACCTTTGGGTTTTTTGCAGATGAACCTCTTCCTTTGGAATGAGATTGTAGACACTTTCTCGGGGATACACAGCTTTAGACATTTTGATGTTCTTCAAGCAGGAGAAAATACTAGTGGACTAAGGTAGTTAACTTGACCGAGCTAACGCTAGCAATACTTGGTCGAGTGAGATTTGTTTGACAACACGCTGTTGCATAGTTGCTAGGTAACTAAAGGAAGAAATGCTGCATTTCATTACAATGGTAAAGCGATCAATTGAAAATATCGGTGATACACATGTGCATTTCACCAACGTTGGTGGTTTATCATCTAGACTTCATTAACATCTAATTTTATATATAGGCTTATTATTTATAAATCTAACAACACATCTTTTTATTCTGGTACGGCACACTGAAAAACAACTTTCTGAGAAGCATTTGAATGTTGCACACATGTCACTCGTACAAGCAGATTCGTACCGAACATGCAGAACGTTTTATCGAATTTGTAATGATTTTACAAAAAATAAAACATGAAATAATTCTGTTATATAATTTTGCAACGAGACATGTGTGCGACTGTGACCAAATATCATTTATGCCGTCTCTGCTTCGACTTCTGTCAGTTATGTCCCTTCAGGCTTACCGTAGTTGTTTACTGCAGCGGTCCTGCGAGACGTGTGGTACAGCATGGTGCTTTGCCCGTACAAATACATTGTTTAGTTGACACAGAATCCACACAAACAATATTTTCCGGTTTAAAGTACGGAAAGACACCATTTCACGTGAGTCAGAGTGTTTTGCCCATGTACTATCACTTATGTTTACACGTAACATTAACTACTAGCTGGCTGTAACACAAGTCCAAGGTTAAAGCAGTGTCAAAATACGAGGTGGCCAGTTTACAACATAAATATGAATTAAAACTCCACTTTATATTTCACAGGAGAAAAGGCTGCTGTCATTTGAGTCCTCGATGGGTTTACTGAATGCACTAAGAGCTGTCAGATGCTACCTGAGTCCTCTTTCAACATCAAAATCATGGCTTTCCACCAAAGCCTCCTTGCTGGGAGACAGAAACATCCTGCTCATGGGTGCCCCTGGAGCAGGGAAGACCACAGTGGGCAGGATAGTGGCCCACAGGCTGGGACTGCCTGTCATCGACGTCGATGACGATGTCTTGGAGAAGTCATGGAAGATGCCTGTAGCTGCAAAGCTGGCAGCAGTAGGCGGAGAGCGTTTCCTGGAGGAAGAAGGCGATGCTTTGTGTAACTTCTCTGCCTCAGGCTGTGTTGTTTCCCTGACAGGCTCCAACCCTCTGCACACTGCAGCGATGAAACACATCAAAGAGTCTGGACTGGTCATCTATCTGGACGTGGACAGTGAAGACATCGTACAGAGACTCACCAGGATGAAAGTGAACAGGATAGTGGGACAGGAGACTGGGACGTCCATGAGGGACATTCTGCATTACAGGAAACAGTTTTATGAGAGATGGCTTGATCTGCGGGTGCTGTGTGGAACAGGGGACACAGTGGAGGAAGTTGCAGAGAAGGTGCTGAAGGCTATGGAGAGATATCAGAACCACGCTTCGGAAACCTTTGTGTCAACCAGGGGTGACGGCGTGGAATCGAAAACACTCTTTAGTGATGTGGTAGTGGAGGGTCTAGCCACAGATGGAGGCCTCTACGTTCCCAAAAATGGCTTCCCAAACATTGATACTCGTGAATGGCTGCGACTAGTTCACATGTCATACCCAGAACGAGCATTAATTTTACTTGAAAAGTGCATACACCCATTGGATGTCCCTGCTTCGGATCTAAGAACAATGATATTTAAGGCATATGGGTCAAACTTTTCTAGTGAGGCAGTAGCACCTGTAAAACATCTCATCCACAATCAGTATATCCAGGAGCTTTTTCATGGCCCCACTGCCTCATTCAAAGACCTCGCCTTGCAGCTAATGCCACAGCTCTTCGCCTATTGCCTCCCACAGATGTGCAACTACCTTATTCTGGTAGCCACATCTGGAGACACAGGAAGTGCAGTGCTCAGTGGCTTCAGCAGGCTCAGTGGCTCTGACACACACAGGACCGGGGTGCTGGTGTTTTTCCCAGAGGAAGGCGTGAGTGAGATTCAGAAGCTTCAGATGATGAGCTTCATGGAGGGCAACGCCAGGGCCGTCAGCGTCCTGTCAGACTTTGACTTCTGTCAGAGGAGCATAAAGAGGATGTTTGGAGAGGGCGGGCTGACGGGTCACCTCGCTGTGGAGTACAACACCGTTCTTAGCACCGCAAACTCCATCAACTGGGCCCGACTGTTGCCACAGGTAGGATATTTGTATTAACGTTTTGTTTTTTTACCGGCGACATTTTAACTTAATAACTGGGAAAGATAAGGTGTTTCAAAGATGAATTCAAAGGTTTTATTGTCATATAAGCTGTGTAGAAATGGCAATTAAATTATTCTGACCTGAGCTCCTCCAACAATGCAACATATATAATAAAATACAAAATGTACTTATATAAATAAGAAGATTGCAAGATGACAAATAGGATTTGTGTCAGGTCGGTTTATCGGTGCACTTAACGGAGCTCAGGTGTTTAGCAGTCTTATCGCCTGTGGGATAAAACTGTCCCTGAGTCTGGTGGTTGGTCTGGTAACATTTCTGTTCAAGAGTTGTTTTTTTGTTTTTTTAACAAAGTATGGTGTCCTTGGGTGTCATGAAAGGCGCCTAAAAATAAAATGTATTATTATTATCTCGAGCTCACTATATTACGGAAGGGCCACATTTTTTTCACATCCCCACATTTTTTTTTTCATGTGACCCTAATCCTCTTCCAATCCGTACTATATATTCCATAAACCTTGTTGTGAGCTGTTTCATGTGTGAACTATTTTCTTTCTACCAAACTACACCCTTCAACCATATCATGGTGCAGAGGGATGTGTGCATCTTAAAGAAAATAGTTCCTATAAGAAACTGCTCCAAAGGATTAGAATTGTATTTATCTGAGAGTAACTGCGTCTTGATATCTGGAAAGAGGACTCAAGAGTTGAGTATTTCCATATTTTTGTTGCGCTTTGAGCACCAATAAACCGCGTGCCATATAGTTAAATTATATACATCTCTAACATTCAAAAAATAACACCAGAACGATCTAGATTTATAAAAAGCACTAATAATAATAATAATAATAACATGGATTTATATAGCGCCCAAGCATAGCACTAAATGATTATTATTATATATATTTTTTTTTTCAAGGACAATAAGGAGTAAAGCTTTTGCCACACATTTAAATTGACACATTCCTCCATTTGCAGGTGGTGTACCATTCCTCAGCCTATCTGGATCTATGCAGAGATGGAGTTATCAAGTTCGGGGAGCCCATTGATGTTTGCATCCCCTCTGGTAACTTTGGCAACGCCATGTCTGCTGTCTACGCTAAGCAGATGGGCATCCCGATAAGAAGAATCATCTGTGCGTCCAACCACAACCGCATCATCACCGACTTTATCACCACAGGCGAGTATGATCTCCGGGCACGGCCTCTGGCGCTATCCCACTCCCCTGCCATAGATATCCTGAAATCCTCCAACCTCGAGAGGTTTATCTTCCACGTTTCGGACGGAGACAGCCATCTTGTCAAGGAGCTGTTCACACGCCTAGACAGACAGCAGCACTTTCAAGTTCCCGAGCCTCTTCTTGGCAGGATTCAGCAGGAAGTGCTGGCTGGCTGGTGCTCTGAAGAAGACTGCTTGGCCGCCATCCAGAGTGTTCACACACACACAGGCTACCTCATGGACACACACACCGCCGTGGCTAAAGTCGTCGCTGATAGGCTGCAGGACGCTTCATGCCCCATGGTGCTTTGTTCCACCGCTCACCATGGGAAATTTGCTCCCGCTGTGTTCAAAGCATTACAAATCCAAAATATTCCGGAGGATCCTATTGAGCAGCTGAAGAAGCTTGGGTCCACTGCATCCAGACCTGGAATACACAGAGACATGATGAAGTGCCTGGAGGGAGGCAGCAGGAAGGAACACACTGTGTGTCAGGCAGAGTATGGGGCGTTAGTTGAAGAAGTGGATAACATGATACAGAGCTCCTTTTTAAAAGTTATGTAGTATTATTTTTAGCATTTGTTAATGTCCACCTTAAAGGGGACCTATTATGCTTTTTTGAGTTTATCTCCCACATCCCCTCCCTGCCTGAAACCCCTCCATTGGAATCCTTTGTTCAGTTATGTACAGTATCATATACCTCATTCACACCAACGCAACTCCGGTTCAAGCTCCGTGCTAGAGCTTTTCAGGTTCAGAACCGGTTCTTCGGTTTAGCTCCGGCTCTTTTCACACTGCCCAGAGTCCGACTGGTGCTGCGTCATTGCGTCATCGTTTGCGTCATGACGTAACCGTTTGCGTGCCTGCTTCATAAAGCCAAACCGCGCGGAAACCCCTCACAGCTGACACCGACAACAACAACAACAATGGCCGATTGTGCTCCAGCTTCCTCTGTACCTCTTCGGAAGACCAGATTCCCAGTAGGTAGCTGGTCTCTTCAGTGGACCACTGCTGCTTGTTAAGTTTCTCCATCGTTGTGTACAAACTGGATAAAACGCCGGCTTTTTGTTGTTGTTCAGGAGTTGATCCCGCCCCTGCCCCCGCCTTGACGTAAGCGTGACCTATGTGGTGCTTTTGCTCTGGCCGGACAATTTTTTGGTGCTCGAAATGAACCGGATTCCGGAGCTAAGAGGCTGCTCTGCTGCGGTGTGAACAGGAAAACCCGGTGCTTATCAAGCTCCAGTTCCGAACCGGCCCTGAAACACCGTTGGTGTGAATGAGGTAATAGTGCCATCACTATGAATCACTCAAACTTCTATTGGCTATCGCTCCAAAACATTTGACGTGAAAGGTTAAGGTGCGGGACATCTCGAAGTGGTTCACTAATCACAACAAAACTGGCCGGCTAACCAATCAGAACACACTGGGCTTTCGTTTCAGACAGAGGGTGAGAAGAGGTGCTTCACAGGCAGTATGTAATCATGTCACAATAGAGTCTGAAAATAAAAGTATAAACCTGAAAATGAGCCCCTTTAAGTTATTGTTCATTTAAATCAGAATTACGCATCCTTGAACAGTACTGTCCTTTGGTATCATGGACTCTTCATTCCTTTAAGATGGTCATTTTTTAAAGCATATTAACAAATATTTGTGTTCAAATAAAAAGGGGCCAGAAAGAAATTGTGCCTGAGCCTACATGATGAAAAAAACGTGTTTACTCTGATTATACTCCAATAGACCTCTCAACTCAATTCAAAGAAAGAGCTCATTTCCCCTCTGTGGGACAAATAAAGATATTCTGATTCTGTATTCTGATTGATGATGACCCAACATTTCTTTACATCATTATCCAGGACCTTGGCCCACTAGATGGGGATGTCTACCTTTTGTCAATGCTGTGTGATAATACTAGTGAAAGTGTTGCAGTAACAGAGTAGTATTGCTGGTTAGAAGGTCAAATAAACAAGTGAATAGCGATATCAAATCAATATCTGCAGTCATTTGACTACTTTGTATTGTACTCTACATTGTAATACAAATAGACAAAAAAATTCCCTTTCTATTTACATCATCTTCTCATCTTATTACTTAAACGTTTCTCCGCTGATGTTAGGATTGCTGAATAGCTATCAAAGCAGTATGGAAGATCTCAGCATGGCATTAAAAAACAGCTAATGAATCGATCTACATAGTCCACTAATATCGAGGTGAAGCTCAAGTAGCTGGTTTTCTCCTCCAATAAGTGTCCACTCACTCATTTCCTACCTTACTGAAGGTATTTTGTGATTTGTTTCCCTTTTAGGTGCCTCTCAGCTGCTAACATTCGGCACCATTTATTCCTTATTAAGAGCGTTCAAGCTCTTTTATTTGTTCTATTGAGAGAAACAGTATAAGAGGCTGAGTTTGACCATTTTGATGGACATGCGGTAGAGGCTCAACTTTGTTGTTTTTGCAAATGTTTCATCAACAAGGAAGGGCATTGTGATTTTTTACAAACATATACCTCAGAAACATGTTTAACTAAGGCATTTACAGTACACACCAGACCTTCAGCCTTGATTTCTTGAAGTTCAAAATAAGTAAAATGACCTTTGTAGTAAATCTATGTGCTGTATTTCTGAATTATAATGATTAAAAAAGTCTGATTTATCATTTTCAATAATTAGTTATGTTATCTCTTATTTACCTGTAAACTGAATTGTAGGGCACAAAGGTTTGATTTGTATTTTAAAAAATGTATATTTTGGAAAGGGAGACATTTGAAAAATGTTTTCTTGAGACATTAAAAAACCTCTGGCACACTTCATAACATGTATATGGCAATATTACAGCTTGTGTCTTTGGTGTATAAGGTGATGGATATGAGGATATTGATAATATTATGTGTCACAGCTCTTTGTCTCCAGCTAAACCTCAATGCACTTTTTGCCAGACACCTGCCAGAATCCTCCTATAATACAGAGCAGAGGTGGGCCTGATGATAATTACCCTCCGACGTCACGCCATCTATAACTGGAGAGCTCAGAATGACTCCTGTCTCTGTGGCTATCAGTCGAGTCATTTAAATCCAGGTGCTGCCTGACAGGAGGGAGGAAGATAAGTTTCATAGATCTGCAGGATCGCTTATGACTGCAGTTGTTAAAATAGATGGAAAGGCCTGATTTGACAAGGCACTTCACTAGCATTCTAGAATCTAGATCACTGTCTCTGAGTTTAAGCCTGAACTTATAGGAAAAGTGTTTCCTTCACTTCTGTTCAAATGTATTATTTGCTGGCAAAAACTTTTTCAGTTTTTCAGGGTGTTTAAGTCACACAACTATCTTAAGGAAAAACTGTGTTCCTCAATAAAAAAAACACAGCCAAAGTTAGCTTTGTTTAGGTTAAGCAGTGTTTTTTCTTAGTAGTCGTTGTAAAAAAGATAATTGTGCAACCCTTTAACAATTTGAAAGAGTCATCTAATATGTAGAAAACGTGTTTTTGAGGATATATCCTAAGGAAATTACCTGTAAGAGACATGTGTGCAACTATCTGTCTTCTAAGGGAACTTAAAGCACATTGTAAAATAAAATGACATTTAAATATAAAATAATAAATTAACATGCCATATGCAACTGGTCACTGGTGTTATTTTTTAACTCTGGAATCACTGTAGCCTATTTACTTTCACGCTTTTATTTCAGGAATGGAATGAACACGTCGCATGGGACACTTTCTCCTCCCAATGGTCTCACAGAGCTGAATGCACACTGCAATAACTTCACAAGTTGAGTCTTAGTAGAGCGAAACCGTTAACAGGATTTTTGCAAAATTACTGGTTACTTTTAAATATTTCTATTCATAAAAACTCATACAAGCTAAAATATCATCCTGCAGCATTAAGATGTCTTTTAATTTCAATAGGATATCACCCTAATACAAGCCCCCCAAAAAACTACAAGGGTCAATACAATGTTTTGTCTATATCATATAGGTTGGCATCTCCCACATTACATCTTAGTAGCAATATGCTATTTCTGCATTAACATAGACATTACAAACAGCAGTGTGAGTGAGAAATAAGAGCAACATCTACTGCAGTAGTTTTCTTGTCAGTATTTTAGTGAAAAAGAGGTCTGTGGTTTGAAGTGATCCATTGCTCTTGCTGTTTTGGGGCTTTTGGCACACAGAGAAGGAAAAAGGTGCTTCCTACGGGAAATCAAGATAAAATACATTTTGTATTCAATTAGTGCATACTTTAACAATCACCCCTCTGACTAAGTGTTTTTATAGGATGACTGGTCACTTTAATTGTTTGTTGTGCATGAACATTACATAACATATGCACATACTCTCTGTGTACAGCTATTTTTCTTCTTGCCTTCCCTCTCTGTGTCCATGGCTTCTTTTGGCCTTATTAATCAAGCTGCTTGGCAGGTGGATGTGAGGAATGGGTGGGTAAAGTGTCTGACGGTGGAGGAGTGTGCAGTTGTGTGTGTGTGTGTGTGCTAGTGTGACGGGAAGGAGAGAGAGCCAGCTGTTGCTCAGCACTAGAGGCCCACGGCTGGGTGAGCAGGGATAATTGCAGGTACCAGCCTGTTCCCATCTCCTTAATGTGAACCTGTGGCACAATGGAAACTGCTCTTTCACAGTGGAGGGAAATAGAAAAGAGAGAGGAAGGAAATGAACACACCGGAGGAGTTTAGAAAGAAAATCCGGTGAATATGGTTCACTTGAGATTCTTCTCCTAAGATCCCTGAGTCTAAAGTGTATTGTCTTCTGTTTCAATCCACAATGCAGTATAGAGATTTCGGTATTTTGGCACATAGGCATCACTTTGGCCTACACCTGTGGTCTTTTCAGGATGACTTGAAATTACTCATTGAGAAAACGTATGTATGAAAGATTTAACAACTACTGTCACCTTTGTTGTCTTAACCAAATCCTTTTTTAAGGGGTTTGTGTCCATTATATTTTTCTTTCCCTCCACTGGCTCAAAGGTGGAAACTCATTTAATGTCAAGTTATTTCACAACATACAAGTCAACTCCTTGACCACTAATGCATAGAATGCTGTTGAATATACACATATTTTAATTCCATTTCAGATTACATGGGTGCAGGGATGTAGCCCCATCTTCCAAATGAAGTCTCCTTGCCAGTTAGAAAAGATAAATACTTATTTGGTTCTTTCTAAACCTTCTCTTCCTATAGTTGACTTTTTTCATTTATTTTACTGGTACAACCTTATTACATTACATTGCATTTAGCTGACGCTTTTATCCAAAGCGACTTACAATAAGTACATTCGACCAGGAAGACACAACCTTGAAAAAAACAGAATCATATAAGTACATCAGGTTTCATAGAGCCAAACATTTCAAGTGCTACTCAACTGGCTTTAGGTAAGCCAGTCCTTTATTAGTATAAAAGTGCTTCGTTAATAATTCTATCGCTCGAAGTGGAGTCGAAAGAGATGAGTTTTCAGTTTGCGCCGGAAGATGTGCAAGCTATCTGCTGTCCTGATGTCAATGGGGAGATGGGAACTTGGGTCCCCCTCGCAGCGAGGGTGCAGCGAGTCGTTTGGCTGATGCAGAGCGTAGTGCACGCGCTGGGGTGTACGGTTTAACCATGTCCTGGATGTACGAAGGGCCAGATCCATTCGCAGCATGGTAAGCAAGTACCAGCTTATCACAGTAGTGTAATACAGTGTTGAAGATCTTTTAATAATGAAATATCATTTGTTTAGTAAGTTACTTTTTCTAAATGTCCCCATTGGGAAAGTGAATTGGATCAAAGCATTCTTGCAGAGAATCATCAGCTTTGGTA